GTCATTGACCAAAACAAGCATTTATTAAGAAGTTAATTATCATATAAATATGAGAAGTAAGATGAGAAGGGTTACAAACAGGCTACTAAATTATTTTTATTACATACAATTTTATAATTAGCATTACATTACTTAATTTATACAATATTATTTTATGTAAAATGTAAATTAGTGCAAGTTTATGAGTACTGTACCTGTAAGATGTCTTGCTCTGTCAGCTCAATGAGCAGTTCGAGGTTGTGTTCCAGCTCCGGTAAGGAGAAGCCAGATGTCTTCTGTTCTCGTGTGCTCACACTCAAAGGGGCCTCCTCAGGAACACTGTGCTTCTGACTCATATGACTGTAACTGTGATACACCTTCTGCTCTCTGCCTGTCATATCGATCACCTGAAACACATGAGGGATGGGTTAACTGTTTCTTGTGAGATATATAAAAGACTATTGTGCATTACTCCAAGTGTTCTGCACTCTCACCTTAACCTGAGCCAGTTCTCCAGCAGGTCTGCTCATGCTCCTGTTGGTCAGCTTGCCATGAGCTTTTAGCTCTTCCACAGTCTTGTAAGAATATTTGGGCTTTTTCTTTGCCGTTCCTGCTTCTTTACGCCATTGCCCCAACTCCCTCTGAAACTCCTTCAAGGATGGAATGAAAATAAAAAAATGAAGCACACAATTTGAAAACAGGGCTCTTGAAGAAAGATTTGACCTGCTGCTGATCTGTTTAGTCAAATGCTTTTTAGTTTCCTGACTCCATTTTGTATTTAAAAGGATCCCTTTATTTAATTTAAATTGCTTATTTGAATATGTGCATTTTTTTTTAAACAACGCAGATTGAGCATTTGAATTGTTCACTGTAACCACCAGGAATTTGCTCACGCTGACTTACTTTCTCTTCCTCCTCCTCAGAGTCTACAACAGGGAAATCCTGCAGGGACTGCTGGGTCCTCTCATTACCATATGCTCCAACCGCTCCCTTCCCCTTCCGCAGCTTCGCCTCAATCGGGTTCAGAATACCTATACACAAAGATATTCATAAGAGGACATTAACATCATTACACCATCCCCAAGTAAGCACATGATGCATAACATAATTCACAATAAGCTAAATGCAGTAAAACCAGTATACTGAGGTATGAAATAAAGGACTGAATTGTTTTACCTTGAGCATTTTTGCCCAATCCTTTTCCTGGAACGTAGCCCATCTTCTGCAGAAGTTTTTGACCAATGCCTCGTGTGTGTTTCTCCCAGGATCCGAGGTCCTGCCCTGTTCTGATCCCACCTGCAAACCTCTGGGATGTCTTAAAGCTCACACCCTAAAATAAAGAATTCAAAGACATATATTACACTACTGTTCAAATATTTGAGATCAGTAAGACTTTTATATTTTGAAAGAAATAAATACTCTTATTCTACGAGCCAAAGACTCATTTAATTGATCAAACGTGGCAGAAATGACATTCATTAAAGAATCCTCAAAACATTTCCACAAAACTATTAAGCAGCACAACTGTTTTCAACATTAATAATAAGAATGAATGTTTCTTGAGCATCAAATCAGCATATTAGAAT